ACATCTTATCACTCAGGGAAAGATCCAAAGTAATCGTGGTCCTGGTAGACAAAGAACATCATGGCTGAAAAATATAAGGCAATGGTATGGAAAATCAACTACATCGTTATTTAGAGCTGCTGTCAATAAAGTCACGATAGCGAATATGGTAGCCAACATGATATCCAACGATCGATAACGGTCATGGAACTAGAAGAAGAAGAAGATTGATATTTAATTTTGTTTGGGGAAAGGGGTCATGACCCTCGTGACTCCCCCCTTGTACCCGCCACTGTGAAAGTTACAAAGTGGTTAGGAAAGTGTTAAGAATAATGAATAAAGAAAAAGACGAAAGACTAATAAACGAAAGATACCAAAAAATGACATCTTGTGGTTTAAAATCTAAAATAAAATAAAGGGCAAGAATAAGTGTGAAAAGATGAATACCTTGTACCTGGTCTACTCGAATTTTAGACTGATACTTCCATGGGAGATGGCATTTGATAAAAAATATATATAATTAAAATGCAATATACTTATTATAATGGACTTTGAATTTCGATCAATGATGTGATGATATCTTAGGTGTTGATGTCTTGGTACTCAAATAACTGAGAAATGTATTTGAGTTAAGTCTCTACTTTCTCTTCGAATGTATTATTATTTATTCTAATTATCCCGTTTTTCTTGCTCAGCACAATTTCATTTCGTCCCGACAAGCACTTTTTGTCTTTGTTTGTTTCGGTTCCCTATTTAGAACTGTGTCTCGAGATGTGCGATACTTTTTAATAATTTCTGTTGATGTTATTATCTGTAATATTAAAAAGGTCTGTCTTGAAAGATGATGTTATGTACTACATCTGTTATCTTTTCTGTTAACTATTTTTACTTAGGTCATTGTCTTTTCTAGCGTCGTTACTAGTATAATCAATTATACCTATTTAGCTGGGTCTGATTGAAGGTCAAGGAATGGCAACAGGTTGTATCGAAACACAAAGTTACAGTCTATATTTTTTGTCATAGTCCAAATCAGTTTACTGGCATTAGTGTCTGACCTTGAGCTTGAATACTGGTTTTATTCCAGTAATTACAGTGATATTTTTACTAAAATCGTCAGCACATTCTTTTAACATTATTCAAATGATATCGATATTTCATTGTTCAAATAAATGATAACAAAATTATGTTTTATTGTTTTAATATGACTAGAGTTATATATAAATATATACAGTGCGTCCATAAAGTCACGCATAAATTCATTCTTAGTTACATAAACAACATTATTAGAATTTACCGAAACAGGTCAATTTTTTTTTCAAATTATAGTCTAATATACAGGTTGAACCACCAGCGTATGATGACGCCATCGTCATTTTTTTTAAAAGGAACTCCCATTTTTTTTCAATTTCTAGATTTCTTTTGCTGAGATTATTCCAAAAATGTATAACACGTTGCTTCAAAACGGTACAGGTAGAGGTAGGCTAAATATCTCTACCCTCTGATTTAACAGCTGTGGTAAGAAGATAATCACGACCTGTGAATAACAACAAACTATATTGTGACTGTGATTTGGGTCTTATTTACTCTTCTATGTATGTAGTTCTTGATCACCAAAACGTGATATTTCACGTTCTCGTCTCACTGGCAAAGATATGAAGTAAGAAACGTTGTAACAGCATAATAAGGAACGAGATAGAGGTAGTTGGTGGTATTTTGAAGTTTCTTTTTAATGAGATGCAAAGGCAAAGATAATAATATATCGTGTTTGAAGGAATATGAACATCGCTAGTACTTATTATAGTGATTAGTGTATCTAAACAAATATTATTTGGTAAGATAAACATAATAAACACATTAATAAAATTACATATTGTTATACAAATATTTTACTATTATGCAATTACTGTGATACATTACCAAAAATAACAAACGAAAATTTACAGTAAATGTTCAAATTGTTCTTCGTTGATTATGAGACAATGACTGAACCAGGCTAAAATAAACGAAGATTGGTTTGACGAAGAATGTACATCCATTAACCAACAGAAAAATGAAGCATACAAGAGACTTCGGCATCGCAGAACGAGATCAAACCTGGAAGACTATGAAAATCTTAGACGAGAAGAAAAAAGGACGTTTAGAAAGAAAAAGAAAGAGTCATATGAAAACGCTCTAAACGAGATTGTTAACCACCACAACAGAAAAGACTCGCAATAATTCTACCAGAAGATAAACAGCTGCAGAAAAGAATTCAAACCCAAAATAACAACATGTAAAGACAGAGATGGTTCCATAATTAGTGACAAAGAACAGATACTAAATAGGTGGGCGAATCATTTTGAAGAACTGCTTAGCGACAGTCGTGAAGAAGACCAAATAGAAATTACCTTGCCTGAAATGGATGAAAACGCTCAAGAGCCGCCCCCACCTAAGAAAAAAGTAGAGAGGCCATTTCAAAACTGAAAAATAACAAAGCCCCTAGATTGGACAATCTTCCTGCCGAACTCTTTAAAAATGGTGGTAATACCTTTCTTAAACACATGCATAAATTAGTATCCGAGATCTGGCTACGGAAGGAAACGTCCGCAGACTGGAAATTAGGTGTAATGCACCCTCTTCACAAAAAAGGAGATATGATATTATGTGTGATAATTATAGAGGCATCACCCTACTTAACGTAGCATATAAAGTATTGTCCAACGTATTGTACAGAAGATTGACCCCCTATGCTGAACAAATAGTTGAAAACTACCAGTGCGGTTTCCGACCCAATAAATCAACAACGGATCAAATCTTCAGTCAGGTAGATTCTTAAGAAAACGCTTGAGTTCTGAGTCGACACCCTCCACATATTTGTGGATTTCAAAGCCACATACGACTCAGTCAACAGACAAAAACTTCTATAGGCTATGGTGGAATTTCAAATGCCGCTTCATCTTGTTCAACTAACGGAACTTACACTCACAGGCGTAGAGAGTATAGTCAGAATCCAAAACGACTTTTCAAGACCCTTCCATTGTAAAAATGGACTGAGACAGGAAGATGGACTGCCGTGTCTCTTATTTAACCTTGCACTAGAAAAAGTCATTCGAGAGTGCCATATTAATTGAGTCCAAGAACAGGGCTTGGGGCGTAGACGCTACAACTTTGAATTATACAGAAGTTTTGGGGAACCTAACGTTGTAAAATTTATTAAATTAGGACGCCTTCGATGGATAGGACATGTAATTAGGCGAGATGAAGATGCAACGATCAGAAAAATTTTCGACCGAAGAGGACCAGTGGGAAGACGATCCAGAGGAAGACCAAAACTTAGGTATCAAGATAACATAGAGGATGATCTAAAATCCATCGGAGTTAAAGCATGGAGAAGAGTTGCCAGAGACAGGGGGGAATGGAAGATTGTTCTGAAGAAGGCTTTGGCTCATAACGAGTTGTAATGCCACTGATGATGATGATGACTGAACCGACCATTACTTTGGTCTTTAACATTATGTAGCATAGCGGGTGTTATGTTCTGTATTTCTTGTCTAACTCGGTCTTGTCGTTGATGGATATTATCAGGTCTGTTGTGAAGATCAGAAAAACTCAGAAAGCTATGGAACGACAGATGCTGGGTATCTCACACAAAGACCATAAAACCAATAAAGACATTCGTAATGGAACAAAAGTAAAAGATGCTGTCTTAAGGATGGTCGATGGAATAAAGAAATCGGCAATTGGCGGCCATATGAAGCCAAAAGACCACGAGGAAGACCGCAAATACGCAGGAGCGACAATATAAAAAAAACTGCAGGGCCAATGTGGAAACGTCTTACAAACAACAGAGATGAATGGCGAGAATTAGGAGAGGCCTATATTTGGCAATCCGAATAGAGAGAAGGTCTTATAAAAATCAGGTTTGTTTGTGTAGAGTTTAGATTTTAAATAACACCATAAAAAGAAATCTAGTGTGTTCAAATCAGGTGATCTAGGAGCCATTCCATTGGTGCCCTTCTTCCTATCCATCGTTGTAGAAAAGTTATGTTTAAAAAATCGCGCACAGTTACTGAGAAATGTGACGGTGCTCCATCTTGTTGAAATCAGATTCTACGGTCTAAATTAGTGGGTACTTGACAGTAGCACAATACCAGCCCATATGTTCGTTTTTTGTGGTCTTTACGTATGGGACACTTGCATCCAGTCTGGATTTTCATCAGACCAATAACAACTGTTTTGCTGGTTAACATAACCGCTCAAATAAAACGTTGCCAATTAAATTGTTAGGCTGGTTCATCATATATCTACTCGCAGAATTCAGTTCTTCGGTCAAAGTCGTCTTCAGCTAATTCATAGATAAGACGTTTTTTATAAGAGTGGTATTTAACGTTTTTAAAAACGTTTGATGCTAAAGACTTTCCAACACCAAGATCCCAAGATAATTCTCGCACTGTACAGTGTAGAAGTTTCTATTGCTGCCAAAATGATGTATATTTTATACACAACATATATATATATATATATATATATATATATATATATATATATATATATATATATATATATATATATATATATATTGGATTTGAAACTTCCGCGGGAGCTATATGTGATTTCAGTTGTTTTCCGGGTTTGACTCCGCGTTTGACTCCAAAATTACTTAACGCGGAGTCAAACCCGGAAAACAACTGAAATCATATATATATATATATATATATATATATATATATATATATATATATATATATATATATATATATATATATATATATATATATTCATAAAAAATTTTTACTGTCGGTAAAAATGTTTGCTGACTTCTGGTTTATTCTTGATTTTTTTAGACATAGATTGAATCGTGAAACATGCTAAAGTTGTTAAAAATTAGAAACTCCCACTATTTAAAAAGATTCCTTATTGAATCGAAATAATTTTGATCCACAACTTTGCCTGTAACATACAAATTTGCAAAGAAAAATTGTTGTAATATAACCCCTTTATCTTCTAGGTTGTGTTGATATAATTTATTTTTATTTTCCCAGGTAAAATAATGGCTCAAAAAATATTCGGTATGCAAAATATATTCCATCCAGCCCTCAATGATCCCAAGAAACAGGCACATATTTTCACTATCATGGCCAATTTGCAGGACCACGTTTTAATGAACAGGCTAAGAGTCTGTGAATTTTTTAAAGTATGCTTTCATCTATTAACCAATTTTTTTTAATTAGTTGTTTTTGTACAAATTCTATCAATACCAATACTTTTAGGACTTCGATCCGCTAAACTGCGGTAGGATAACTTTATCCCAATTCCACAGAGGTCTAGACGCTTTAGTACTAGCAGGAAAGCAAAGATTTTTTCTATCTTTGCCAGATGTTGAAGCAGTAACGCACCAATATCGAGATCCTTGTGATCCCAGTAGGGTTTGTTGGAAAACTTTTGAGGATGATATAGATCACGTCTTCACAGTTAAGGTAGGTGCTATTTTAGTACTAGTTTCTTATCAATGAAGATCTTATCCACTATAAAGACAATTAAGATTGATATAATCATTTATCTTTTTTCTGTTCTGTACTTTTCTTTTGCATCTACTTTATTGCGAGTCTTGTACCTCTGGTTGTCGATTATTATTCTATTGTGCCTTATTCCAAGATTCTTTTATTTATCTTTTATTATTTATCTTTTTTATCTTTTACTATCTACGTTGTATGAATGAAATCCTAAAGTACGAAGGACCAGATCTGACCAAACAACCACTAAAACTAATACATATAAAAAATAATACAACAAAACTGAATCTCATAAGAATGGAGATCAAGAATCCTTATTAGTCTGTTCAAAAAGGGGGATAAATCAGACCCGGAAAACTATAGAGGAATCAATATATTAAACACAACACTAAAATTAACAACGACAGTGATAACAAATAAACAGAATGAATTTATAACATTAGCAGAAGAATAACAACGTTTTAAATCGGGAAGATGACACACCGACGCTATATTTATAATAATGTGCAAGTGCAAGGGAAATCACTAGAATACAACAAATCGACATATTATTTATGTCTCATGGACCTAAAAAAAACATTTTAAAATAATTCTAAATGCTGTAACTAAAATTAAAAATCCTATAATCTCAGGCTCTGATGACTCAATATCACTTAAAACAAAAAATCTTATCTTATCGGCAAATAAGAATGGTTTTGACATTTTAATTTCATGGATTCCAGGACATTCTGATATTCCTGGTAATGTAGAAGCTGATTTACTAGCCAAAATAGGAACAAACTTGAACTTTCCGTTAGCTATGTGACTAGATTCACAAGATATTCTAAACACCATAAAGGAAAAATTATTGCTGAATTTAAATTCAATTGGGGTGCCATAATGCGGAAGAAAAACTACCAGTATAAGAGAATGCAAACCTCTTTTTCTTTTAAAGCATGGTTCTCAACCCTAAAATTTAAAAACATAAGACATATCACCACACTAACAAGAACGAGAACAGCTCATTGCTTAACTAAACAACATCTTTTTAAAATAAAAATAATAGATAGTCTGGCATGTAAATGCGGAGCAGTGGTGGATTTAAACCATATTTTCTTTGGATGCCCCATTAATCTTATTCCTAACATGGATTTATATTCAATTTTTATTTCAATGAAATTCAAAACCCCAATCTCAATAGACATAATCTTAATATACCCTAATGGAAGGTCAGTCAATGCAATCTGACAGTCTCTTGATTATAATAAAATTAATTTGTAATTTATGATGCTCAATTTTAATTTAATATTTTTGCCTTTCAGTATCTTCTTTGTGGCACCTTGTTTACTGTGTAACCCTTCCATTACCATTTGTTTACAATCTGTGTTCATTATTTGTATATAAACATCTTAACCTCAATTTTAAAAATTCAGAAAAAGTACTACCACCTTACGCAAATGTCAGCGGCCCTGATATGGTTTAGAACCAGATTACATCACGGTCGCCAACAAATAGTGCTTGCGAATCGCCTCGTAGCAAAGCCATAAAAAACAGAAGAAGGAGAAGAAGATGAAGAAGAAGAAGAACTTAAAATAATCTGCTAGGCAGACAAAGCAGTACTAGTCTTTCAAAGTGAATATAATTTAAAACATATCATCATGATCACCATCTGTTGCCATCGTCTTATTTTTAATGCCCCTAAGTCGATATTCTCTCTTTCATCTTTCTGCGTGACGCTTCTAAGGCAGAAGGATGAAATATCTGCTCCAGAGGTATGGACCTTCCTCAGCACTGTTTTGTATCAATTTTAGTTCTTCTTTGGCTGTGTCTTGAAAGGAATTGTTTTTGTAGTCCATAGCATGCTCTATTTGTAAGGTTTATTCGTCTTTTAATTTCTTCACTTGTTTTGTTTGTTGTAGTCACTAGCGAGCCAAGGTATGTGAAGATGATTTACAACGTATGTTTCACAAATTCAATATAACCGTCAGAAAAGTTTATAAAGAGGTAAAATATCTTAGAATCACACTGTGTAGCTACGGAAAGTTAGAAGCAGAAATGGAAGATCAAGTAAATAGAACAAACAAAGCTGCAAGATGATTGAATGAAATAAAATGAAGAAATACAAATATCGGAAAAGAAATGAAAAGCAGAATTTACAAAATAGTTGTCCGACCAATAATAACATACGCACCAGAAACACGACTAGACACAGAGAGAACAAAAAGAAACGCTAGAAATAGCAGGGATGAAAATTTTTAGGAAAATTGATTGTCAGACTATGCAACTGAGCTAGAAGTACTAATTTACGGCGTAGATGCAAAGTGGATACCATCAAGGACTAGATAAGAAAGAGAAGAATAGAATGGAATTATTGTATGAGCAGAATGACAACGATTGCCCAATGGGAAGATGATCAGTGGGAATCTCACAAAAACGATGGAACGACAACTTACTGGTGGCACGTTGAAAAACAGAGAGATTAATAAAAAGAAGAAGAAAACGACCAATTTTTATTATGTTCTTCATTTATCTTGTGCTTTCTTTTCCTTTTTATTCTTATGTTTCTCTGAATAAATGTAATTTTTTGTTTGTTTTATCTCTTCATATTGTTCTCAAGCTATTTTCTTGTGACATCTTAAAGGAATTACTATTTTAATGGGAATAAACCACAATTGAAACGTCCATAAACTTATTTTAAACTTCAGTTGTGGCTAATTCCCATTAAAATAGTAATTATTTTATCTCTTCAAAAGCGCAAACTATTTAACTTAACGAAACTATTTGGTTGGTAATTACATTTTAGGGTTTGGAAAAAATGCCGTCGCTTGTGGTGGATCCCCCACCAGAAACTGTAAGGAATTTGCCAAGGCTGGGTGGTAAGGACTGGCAATCGGTGAATACCAGAAGCAGAGATTTGTGCGAGGAAGCAGTTGATAAAGTGAAGCAGAAAATCATACATCGAAGAATTTTATTAAAGCCAGTTTTTAGAGATTTTGATAAGTAAGTTAAAATGTGAAGTATTCATCTATCCTTCCATCCTATGGCGCTACAGCCCAATTCGACACATGGCCTCCCTCATCAGACCTATCAATCCGTTACGGTCAGTAGTCAATCTCCCCCACGATCGACTGCCAAGGAGATCGTATGTCGTAACGATTCTGTTTAGTGCCCTTTTGATAATCGCCTTGTTATTTTTTTTCTATCTTAATATATTTATTATATCCTCCCCTTTCATTTGTTATGTGGCAGGTTAGAATTTAATCAGTTGTTAACCCTTATTGCTCTGTGGTAAAATGGGAGATCTGCAGCACCTTATATTGGAGTGTGGACAGTATGTTGGAGACAAAGTATCAAAATATTGTATGTTGAATTAAATTGTCCTTTATCTGTCAATTTAAATACAATTATTTTTCCAAAATACAAGCAGACGTTAAAATGTATCTACTAATAAAGTCCTGAAAATTTAAATTATAAGCAGGCTTAGGTAATAAAATTAAAAATTGTAAATGTCCTGGAAAAAATAATAAAAAAAAAGAATAAAAAAATAAGAGAAGATAAAAACACACAGAAATAAAAAATCAAAAACAAAAAAAAAGAATTATATAAAAAAATATATCAAAAAAATATTAAAATCACATAAAAATTAGAAAAAAGGTCATTAAAAAAGCTATATTAAGAAAATCCCAGTTAGTTATATTAGAAATACAAAAAAACTACAAAAGAAGATAAACTAACTTAAAACGTCTGGCTAATTGGCTAAGCCAAATCCATTATACAATAAAAATATATATACATATAAAGTTATCTACATCTAAAACACTCCTCGGCATTTTTGGCTTCATACATAAACACAGTCTTTAAAATTAGATCCTTTTTATTGAAATCATCATTAGAGCTATTTATTTTTGTACTTCTTATGTTGTACAGTAAAATATTCGTTGTCGCGAGAATCTAAAACATGGAATTCGAAACCGTATATTCATGGAATATATTGTAGATCTCTACTAGCTTAAAGAAACTTATATTGCCTTTGTTACTATTGTTTAGGCACAATAATGGCCACGTGAGTAGATCGCAGATGAGACAAGCATTCCATTCGAATGGAATCCTACTTTCAGACGAAGAGTTGTTGGCATTAGAAGAAAGATACAACAACGACATAGGGTTCAACTATTTTTGGTTTTTAAAAGATGTTGAATCAAGGCCAGTAGAACCATTGGTAAGTAGTTGATTTTGGTTTCTTATGTTTTTAGTATGACTTTTTGTAGTACAAGCAATTTGTCGAAGATATGAATAAAGTGAATGCTCCTCGACCCAAGAAAACGGCAACGAGACAAGAACAAGATATCGTGCTCATCATGGCAAAGATAAAAGGAAAAGTCGTTAGAGAACGCATCAGAATTATGGAATTCCTAAAGGATTTCGATAGACTTAACTCCCTGGTTATCAGCGAAGATGATTTCAAAAGAGGTTTGTCGATGTGTCGGTTGGAACTGACAGATAATGAAATTGATACACTATTAGAGGTGTAAGTCAGTGAACGAATGATAATGTGAACGATATTTCATACAATTTTGTAGGTTTGCATCACCTATGCGAAAAGGCTGCGTTGATTACAAAAGATTCTGCGAAGTTGTCGAAGAATCTTTCACTCAACAATGTCTGGAGAGGGCTCCCCTGATTGTACCCATACAGCATGTACCTACTAGGGACTGCGAGAAAAATTTCCTCAACTTTGACGAACGGATCAAGGTATCCGTAGCTTTACAGAAGTTGGCCAGGAAACCGGACCTGCAGATGAATTTGTCCTCTGTCCTATCCGTAAGTATAAATTTAAGTTTGTTTTGAAATGTTTTGATTTCTTTAAAATATTTGAGCTACATATAGTAGTTTAATAAGAACTATATTTGCATCATTTCCTTTGCTGTTCTCCCTACGCGGTGTCAGCAGTAGTTTACCATAGTCCGTTTTAAAATTATTGTTCAATTTTTCACATACGAAAAATAATAGGTACTATATTTTTCGCTGTATCATATTCTATATACTCAACTTCTTCTTTTTATGTAGACATGACTCTGTCTGTTTTTCAATGTGCCTTCAGTAAGTTGTCGTTTTCGTGGTTTTCCTACTGATCGTCTTTCTATTGGGAAACCATCTTTTGCCATCTTTACTACTCTATTTGTTATCATTCGGCTTATATGATCATTCTATTCTACTTTTCTATTTCTTCTTACGTCCTTGATGTTCTCCACCTTGCATCTACGTCGTATATATGCACTTCTAGCTCTGTTCCATAATTTTTTACCATCAATTTTTCTAAGTTTTTTTCATCTCTCCTGTTTCTAACATTCTTTTTGTCCCCTCTGTGTTAGGTCGATTTTCTGCTGACTATGTTCTGATGACTGTTTTGTAAATTCTGCATTTAATTTCTTTCTCGATATTTTTTATTTCTCCATACTGTTTCATTCAGGCACCCTGCGGCTGTGTTTACTCTATTCACTTGTTCTTCCACTTCTGTTTCGAGCTTACCATAGTTAGATAATGTGATATACCCTAGATATTTAAACTCCATCACTAGTTCTATTATCTGACCTTCCAACTCCCATTTACATCTTAGTAAATTTGCTGTTATAACCATGCAGTTTGTGTTTTTTGAGAAAGTAACATGTTAAATATGTTTAACATGTTAAACAGATGCTAAACGACCTGTTCCTCAATTCCTCATTGACCAGGAATCCCGATTCCTCCACCTTTTCTTCACACCACCAACTACAATCATCAGATGAAAGTTTAAACGAAAAAACCGAAGAAGACGACAATCCTGATATACACCAACCTCACTAGTTTATCTGGGTTAAACTAAATGACTTAGTGAGATTTATTATTTATCGTATGGCAATTACAACACATTTAGAACAAAATTACAAACACTAGTAATATAGATATATGACAAACTTTAAATAATTACAAACAAACATCAAGTGTATTAACATAATCAATTGACTCTGAAGTTGCAAACAGGAAGTCTTCAGGGCTACCGTTGTAGGATCTTGAGGGACACTCTTCAATAATGTGGTCGATCGTTTGGTTCTTCCCACAGTCACATTGAGGAGACGGATTCTTTCCCCATTTATGTAGCATGTATGCACATCTGCCATGTCTGGTTCGGATCCTGTTTTGAGTATACTATGTTTTACGTGGAAGATCAAAACCTGGTGGCTTGTGGGTAATACAGGGCATGTTATTTTGCCATGCATTCCATTCTTGGGACCATGCATTCGTGATGTTGAACTCCTCATGTATCATTCTTGCCGTTTTCATTGGTGGTTTTCTAGAACGTAGACGGGTATTTCGTACATCCTCGGTATCTTGGTGGATCGGCAGTTTTTGTTAAATGCTCTTTAAATGATAGCGTTCTGTCTAGTGTTACGTCCAGGTACTTCGATGTTTTGTTGTGGGAAAGTGTGGTATTTCCAAACCGTATGTTGAGTTCTTTTCCAGCAAGTTTATTGTTCAGATGAAAGCAACTTACTTCTGTTTTGGATGCATTTGGTTGAAGCCGCCACTTGCGAAAATATTTGCTCAATATATATATATATATATATATATTCTGCCGTCAGAACTTCTTCAGATGTTTCTGTTCTGCATTGTGTAGTAAGGGATCAGTCATCGGCGTATCCGAACTTTCTTGATTGTGTTTTTGGCATATCTGCTAAATATAAGCTAAATAGTAATGGAGAGAGACTTGCGCCTATTGAAGGATGCTGCACAAATCTTACGATCACAACTGAAATATGAAAATCTTGTAACAAACTTTAGATCTAATGTCCATTTCATATTAATACCTTTTTACATATTTATTTAATGTTAAATATTAATTTCTTTTGATGACCTGGTAAAACTGGTGAAAATATTTGTATTAAACATGATCCCGCTTCTTGAATGTACGCTTCTTATAATCGACATACAGATTTTGTGTTGTTCTTTAAAAAAAGGTTATTCAAAAATACTTAAAAAATTTTCGACATATTCGATAAAAAAACGAAGGACTGCACTTTACATACAGAAAATAAATACATATGGAAAAAAATTAAAAATAAAGCCAGGTACATTTCTTTCATTCATCATCAGAAAATATTCAGCATTGTATTTGAATCTGATTTGGCAAGTTATAATAAAAAGTAAATCTTACGAGGAATTGTGCTTTCACCATCATTAAAGATGAAACTAGTCGGCATACAATGTTAACTCCTTCTTATATTATATACAGGCTAAAAAGAAAATGCTAAAATCTTTTGGCCCCAGATACCACATTTTCGTGGTATGACAAATTTCCTGGGGTTTCTAAAACTAAAGTTAAAGAAGGAATTTTTGTAGGCACTTAAATTCGAACCTTAAAATCGGAGAGATTGTTCCAGAATACAATGACCCAGGATGACTATGAGGTATGGAGTTCTTTTGAAGAAGTCATGGACGATTTTCTTGGAAACAACAATTCTTTAAACTACAAATAAATTGTAACCAACATGGTCGAAAATTGCAAAAAAACTGGGATGTAATATAAGCGTCAAACTTCATTTTCTGGATTCCCACGTTGACTATTTTCCTGAAAATCTTGGAGCTGTCAGCGAGTAATAGGGAGAGAGGTCCCATCAAAACATAAAGATGTGGAGGCGTTACCAAGAAATATGGGATATTATTCTTCTTCTCGTGCCACTCCTAGCGGAGATTGGAAATCATCATGGCCACTGCCACTTTGTTAGCAGCGCGCCTAAAAAGTTCAATCGAACTACACCCGAACCATTCACGTAGATTACGAAGCCACGATATTTTTCTTCTTCCCACACTTCTTTTGCCCTTAATTTTGCCCTGCATGATGTTTCTTAAAAGTTCGTACTTTTCACCTCCCACAATGTGCCCCAAGTATTCCATCTTTCTAGTTTTTATCTCATTTAGAATTTCGCATCTTTTGTCTAAAGTTTGGAATACTTGCGTGTTAGTGACGCGGTCCATCCATGATATTTTGATAATGCGCCTATAGCACCATATCTCGAAAGCTTCGATGTTTTTTATGGTCAACTGTTTTAGTGTCCAAGCCTCAACTCCATATAACAGGGTAGAAAAGACATAATACCGCAGCATTCGTATTCGTAACTTTATATTGATATCACGATTGCAAAAGAGTTTGCGCATTCTATTAAAGACTGATCTAGCGATTTCTATTCTACATCTAATCTCTTTTGCTGGATCAGTATCGTCTGTGATCCAAGCACCTAGATATTTATAACAGGGCACACGCTCAATCGTTGTATTGTCTATTACAAGATTAGCTCTGATGTTCTTTGATTTCGTGATTACCATAAATTTAGTTTTTTTTCAAATTAATTTTCAAGCCGTAACTGTTACAGTATATATTGAGACTTTGAATGAGATGTTGTAGTTCTACTAGCGTTCCCGTTAGGAGAACTGTATCGTCAGCATACCTTATATTGTTGATCGTCTCACCATTTAGATTTAGATTATCAGACCAAGATCTTCTTCCTCGAGTGCTTGTTCACAGATAGCTTCACTATACAGATTAAATAAAAGTGGTGATAAGATACATCCCTGCCGGACTCCTCGACGGATTTGAATTTCTTCTGTTAGTCTGCCCTCAACCTTGACATTTGCTGTTTGATTCCAATATAGATTGCATATAATTCGAATATCTCGGCTGTCTATATTTTTCTTTATTAGAACTTGTCTTAGTGGTTCATGTTGTACTTTGTCAAAGGCCTTTTCGAAATCAATAAAGCAGGCGTAAATTTCTTGGTTCATGTCTAAGCATCTCTGTGAGAGAACGTTCATTGCAAACAGAGCCTCCCTTGTACCCAGCCCTTTTCTGAATCCCATCTGAGTGTTACTGATGTCTACGTCTAATTTCCTATAGATCCTATTATGGATTATTTTTAAGAACAGTCTTAGAGCATGACTCATCAAAGCTATCGTACGATATTCGTTGCATTCCTTTGTATTTGCCTTTTTTGGCAGTAGTATAAAGGTCGAACGGAGCCATTTCCTAGGTATTATCCCAGTTCTATATATTGTGTTAAATAGATCTAGGAGTATTTTACTAGATTCATCGTCCATAAGTTTAAGCAGCTCTACGGGAATATCATCAGGACCGGGGGCCTTACCACTTTTTGCTTGTTTGATTGCATATTCTATTTCTTCTCTGATTATATCAGGCCCTGTATCATCTGTATATTCGTTTGAGATTTCTTGTCTATCTTTGTCATCAAACAGTTGTGATATGTATTCTGTCCATCGGTTCATTTTTTGTTGTAAATCTGTTATAATTATACCATCTGTATCTTTGATCTGTCCTGTCTGTGTTGTTCTTCTCCTTCCTGTCGTTTCTTTAATCTTTTTGTGTACATTAAAAAAGTCATATTTTCGTTCCAATTGTTCCAACTCCTGGCATTGCTCACTTAGCCATCTTTTTTAGCTTCTCTTATTTTCTTTTTTATCAGTTTATCTGTTTCTTTGTATCTTATCGGATTATTTGTTTTGTGTACCCTTCTGTCACGCATCAACTGTAGTATTTTCTCATTCATCCATTCTTTATGTTTCCTTTCTTTCGGTATTAAATTTTCTCTTCCTGCCAACATTACGGCATGTTTAATATTCTCCTATTTTTGGTCTATGTTATCAGTATTTCTATTCAGTTTCTCTATATTTTGTAAATTTTCTTTGATGTTCACTATTGTTTTCTCTTTTATATGTTGTTCATTCAGTCTTCTCACGTCAATTTATTTCTGTATATGTTTTTTAATGATCTT